CCCCAGCCACATATAAATACATGGGTAGATATGCAGATATGAAACAGCAAGCGACTCTGAAGGTCTGGAGGAGAGAACTTCGGTCTCTACATAGGAGAAATATCCAGGGGTCATAGAAAATAGGGGGGAAATTCGACAGGCACATTTTGGAAAGATGGCAGAAACTGCGTGGAGACATATCCTTCAGTTCGGATTCCTCACTTATTTCATCGTTTTCTCTTATATTTCTGTGACCAGTTCAGTGAGTCTTGATTTGACAGAACTGAGAAACAGGGTGTCAAAAATCAAAGTAAATCCAAGAGGAAATCTGTGGGCGACAGGTGAGGCAATACATCTCCTGTCACCGTTCGAAACAAAATGCGTCTCCTTCTGCCTTTACAAAGGACGATCGTATTGAAATTAATGAGCAACTAGATGTAGGCTATTATTGTCGTATTCGGCAAACTAATTAATCCCACCATTTAGGGAACACTTGTCCATTTAACAAAACTGTCTGATGTGCAAGAATATGTTTACAGAAGTGAGAATATAAACGAGGTATGGGCGTAGTACTGGACGGGCATATCTGTTTTTACTTTCGCATGTACTTTTACTGCCTGTGAAGCTTACTGATATTTTATCTATCTATTAGGTCATTTCATGGGAAAGAAAAATGCTGTGGACAGCTCATCGCTTGAGTCTCCAAATAAGCTGGCGCTGAACGCAATTCGGGTAGCTCTAATGCCCGAGCAAAAGGCGCAGGACTGGAGGGAGTTCATTGTAGAGCAGATGATCAAAGTTGCCGTGCAGGACCATCTGCAGGAGCCTGGGGAGAAAATTGATAACAATGAACCGGTGAGTGAACTCATTTATAGGCCTACAATTGAAATGCTGTGGTATAATTCAGTGTGAAAATGCCCATGCATTGGTTTTTGTAAATCGAATTACTATTAATATTTAAAGAATTGTATTATTATATTAAGAGTTCTAGTAAAGCATATGGAAGTCAAAGCCGCGGGAGTGCGTCTGTTGTAATTCCAGATTTGTTATAGAATAGTGGGTTATAATTATGCATTTGTATTTTCCAGCACGTTACTACAAGCATTATATCAACAAATAAGAGATACAAAGAAAGCTGTGTGACCGTTTCAGTTAAATGATAATAATGTGATAAAATGTCTGAGAGCAATTACCTAATTTTACGATAAGCTACAAGATACTGTACCAACAAAAAAGACCCTAAACCAGTTTACGCTGTATGTAGCAATACAACTGATAAAGATCCCTTTCTGATCATTGTGTGAAACTGTATAATTGCCTCAAGAAATGAACTGCCGCAAAATTGGTTTCCACTGCTGTGTTTATTTTGCAGGAAGCAGACTCATTGACGAAGATATTGGAAAATTACTTAAGGAGCAGAAGAAAGTGACATCAGCACCAGTCTGATTATTGTTTCACATTTTATCTTACATTACCTGCTTTATCATTGAAACGTCATGTTAATAAACTTTCTGTCGGTAGCATTTCATTATGACCACATGTACTACAAGTAGTACGTCAATAAAGAAAATGCCTCGCCGACTAGACTGTGGAGCGAGTGATATATTAATCATCAAACTCAAATACAACCTCTGTGCCGGAGTTATTCAAACTGGGGAGCACAGCCCCCTAGTGGGGTACGAATGAATTGCACGGGGGTTCAGGTGAGGGGAAAGAACTGTGCGCTACCTTTAGAAATATGAAAAATAATGTGAACACATTGTGTGCCTGTACAGAATATGACGCTAGCAAATAAAATTAATTAAACGCGTAATATTTGTCTGTGTGTGTCCGGGGGGCGTGGTACAATCAAGACAAATTATGCAGCCACACAGGGGCTTGTCGAAGTTTGAATCCCATCGTTACGCTGTGCGAACAGGACAAGTAGCCTTAATGCGATTCCAGTCGTCTCAGTAGCACAGAAGTTCCATTTAAACGTATCTTCTGTGAGTTGTCTTTCTCATATTGTTTTTACTGTTTTAATAATCCTCTGTATGCCATTGATTATTCTGAAACAAAATAGCCACTCTGATGTGTTAAATGTTGTTTAATGGAATACAATCTTCTACACAAATTTGGGGGAAAAAACCCAAGATTTTCAATTTTCGCATGAACAATGCTTTAAGTTGGAAAAACGGGTGCCAGTACTTCTCCTGCTATTCAGTGCCGGTAGATTATGAGCGCTGCCGGTATGCAGAAAAGGTTCCCGGTGTGAGTACTGGCCCACTTCAAGCACTGCACATGAAAAATATAAACAAGCAATAACGGTGGCGTATATAAAGAATTCTAAAACGAGGAACGCAGCTTTATATCCCAAGGAAAATTCCAGGAGACATTCCATTCGTAAGGACAACGCCGAATACGTTAATATAAGCTTGCGAACGTCATTCTACGTATTATGCGTAACCAATCGTTTTTCACTTCCGGTTCACTGTAGTCAGGACTCTATTTCCAAAGCTGCATCTCATGGCAAAAGTGGAACATGCCGTTAATTGTGATGTGTGGTTTCCCCAGTAGTGGCAAAAGCCGTAGAACGAAGGAATTAAAGGAATATTTTCTAAGATGTACCGAAAGAAAGGTGATTGTAGTTGGGGACGAAACTGTGGGAATGGCCAAGAACACCGCATATGCAGGTGAGACTTCTGAGTACATGCTAGCAGCATTTAGCGTGTGTCTCCAAACTCAAACCTCTTTAACATATAGGACGAGTCACAAATTATGATTTCGAGATCACTTATGTGGCAGTCGATACATAAACCAGATAGTACCAGAACTCCTTTTGCGAAAAAGAAAAGAACAACTAGAGCAGGTACCAGTTTGTCGCATCTGTTGCCATATCTGTAGGAATTAAATGTGGTGTCATTACATTTTTCATTTTGAAGATATCTGGCATGTGAATTATACATAAATTCCAAAGCTCAAAAATGTTTATTGTTTATTAAAAAAAATACATTTGAGATATAACGCATTTTCTGCACCGCGGACAGGAAGAGGCACCAACTTTTTATATATACTGTTATATATACAGCAACATGGGTCTGCTGTAGGGCGATCACCTAATCCACGTCAGGAGGGACACTATGGGCTACTTCAGGACAGGTTTTACAAACTACTTTAACTGAACGTCTCCTGTGCTCGGCTGAATTGTTTGGCTCGTCTTGTACTTTTTCTAGTTTTGTTTCCTTGATTAAAAGTATCATCCTGCTGTTTCACATGTAAATTATTGACACAAGCATGATTTTCAGAGACTAACCAATCAGGGCTTATGTGAAATCCAGGTCCTTTTAATTGAAATGACTACAAACCATGTCGTAGCTCATAGTGACCCTCCTGACATGGATTGTCTGGTCATCCTGGTCTGCTGTAGCTCTTTGGAAAGCTCAGAAAGAGTTGTTTTTTCATGCCTTATTTAACTTTTGCATAAATTTAAGTTTCTTTCTTCGAGGTCAAAGTTCATCCCTTAAACTGCATTTTTTTTTTTTTTACTATTTGGGTTATTAAAAACATTGAAAGCCTGGTATAACAAGCCAGGTTTTTTTTATAATTTACAGTACATATGTATGAGCACTACTTGCACATGTGGCTTATGTAAAACCTTGATCTATTACTTGGTCCCTTTCATGTGATAAGAACCCTAAAACCGTACATATTATTAAAAAATGCTATTATCGAACCCCAAAAAAATGGCATGTGGTAGGAGTAGTTAAAAAAAAAAAAATTCACTGAATTGGGAAGAAAGTACTCTTTATGTGCTGTCCAGTTGTAGGAGTTATGAGGCTCTGTAGAGTAAAAATACTCTACCTGAAGTGTTTGGGGGACTTATCAGAGAATATCTCCCTTGTCTTGCAAGGTGAAGTCCAGGCAGGCCACCTTACAGCCGATCTTTACTCCTGTTTGCATGTTCAGGTGTTGCTCCGATTACATACATGAATGACATTTTCCTTGTGCTCTCCTGAGAAAACTAAGAAGACAGAAAAGATGTAAAGGCCGTTTCTTGGGTTATAAAATGGAATGACCCTGTGATCATACAGCTTGACTGGCTGTGAAACCTGAATATTTGGATAATGGATGATGGAACTGTGGGTAGAGTGATTTCGCTCTTGGGCCCTTGATGGATAGATAGATGGACAGCTGGATACATACAAGCAAGCAGCTTGCTCATTCTAATTTAAACAAAAAAAAATTTGATATTGCACGAAAATTTAATATTTTGAAAAAACATGCAAAATTATACAAGTTGTATAAAGATTTTAAGTTTTTGTTTAATATTTTCTACAGAGAACTACTTACCAGTGTACTTTTACAGTAACATTCCAGTTTACAGTAAGTGTTTGCACAATTACTCATCACTGTTAATAATGACCTTTTAAAATTGTGTTTCTTGGCAGACTCCCAAATGGAAAAAAGTCTGAGGGCGTCTTTAAGAGCTGAAGTAGAGAGGTGTGTTTGTCTTTTTGCTTTTAGGATGCTAAATGTACAAGGTCACTAGTTTTCCTTTGATTTAGAGTAGAAAGGGTTGACGATTGGTTTGCTATTGATTGCTGATGACACCTATGTGCTGCCTAAATATTAATGTTGGTGCTGAGCAATAATCATTTTATATATCATTTTTATAATATCATTTTCTTCAACATCAATATAACAAATGCTCAATAAAAGTTTGATATATTTTAAGGCCCAGTTTAATGACGTCACTTCCTCTGTGGCAGCTTGTCAGGACCAGAAATGGAGCACAAGTGCAGACACAGCCGTAAAAACTCAGGGCATTCATTGAACAAATAAGAGAATGCAATAGAACAGGCAGGCAGACAAAAGACAAAGCTGTCAAAACAACAGGGAAACTCACTGGGAGAGCAGGTTAGTCCAAAGCAACCTGTCTAATAAGGGGAATCCAGCAAAATCCGAAACGAAAGTGTGCAGTAAAATTCAGTCCATGAGAAATCCATAAGAGAGTTTGGAAACGCTAGGAAGAATGCGTGTGGCGGAGTTTTGTCAGCTAAAATAACGTGGTCTGCCACCAGTCACAGTGTTTAGAGACAACCTATGCACAACAAACGGCAAGGTTGCTTGAGTTAGCGGAGTACAGTACATGCTATAGGTTTGTACTGTAAGTGAACGTCATGGAAGAGATGAGCGGCTCCTCAGACGAAACTTGTTGGTGAAGAAAGCGCAGCAGCCACAACATCTTTTTAATGTGGAGAGATTGTGGATAAACCAGGTAAAAAGGCGGTACGGTAGTGGTGTGGCCGTACTTTGGCAATTTAAAGAAGCCAGTGAGACTTGCTCTGTGTGTTGTAATCTCTGCCGAAATCTTGTGCCAACCGAAGCTGGAAATACTGCGAAGTACATCATTCAGAATGCAAGCACGTACAGTCAGAGACATCAGCAGTGATTGTTGTAACTTTCAGTCGCATCGAGTAGTGATTCAAAATGGGACACAGCCATGTTTAACCCGTCCCCTGTAATGAGCAGTGAGGCAGTCAGAGAGAAAGCCCAGCAAAACCATACTATCGACGACAAAAAAATATTATTATATGATTTGTTTATTAAAGTTAGATTTCAGTTTGCCTTCCATTCAATTTGTCTGTTTAGGGTGAATCCTAAGGGAACTTTAAGCATAAATGGATCCTCATAGGAAAGAATTAATGAATTGTTGAATATATCGATTTATGAATCATATCATGATAATTATCGATATTGACCAATTTGGGGGAAAAAATCATGATAAAATATTTACTGATTTATTGAATGTTGTTATTGGTTTTAGCCTCACATAATTTTTGAGGATTATTTTTTCCCCCAGACTAACCCTTAATCCCAATTGATCCAGGGACTGGCTAATCCTGCGTTCTCACCTGCACGTTGCTTTAGATAAAAATATCCGCAAGATAAATCTAAATGTAAATGTTTTCTTGACACTACTGGATGCTTTTTGTCTCTGTAAATTGCACTTAGACTTTGTTCCCTTTGGGAGTCTCTCTAGGGGGATATTTTTATGTCTAGCATTTCTGATTTAAGGGAGAGGTGCAAAGACTGCAATTTTTGCAAGCGTGACCTGCCAATCCCAATATTTGCCAATTCCAATTCCTGTTCTCCGTTATGCGCATACAGTTCTTACATCGCTAGTAAGCTAGATCAAGATCAGGCTTTTTCATACCTTTCATGCGGACATTACAGCGTAGGGGGTTAAAATTTCATTAAAACATTTATACTTTTTCTTAGGAAAAAACCTTAACTAGCTTTGCAATTTTAATGATTATTCTTTTTCAAAATTATGTAGTATATGTTTAAGAATCAGTTTAAAGTTCACCTCTGATGTTTCACCACGTTTTTGTGGTGGTTCCCTCATGAATTACTTTGGCTTTACCTGTGTTACAGATTGCAGTCTTTGTGTCGTCTTCACTCAAAGTGAAGAACTTCCATGCTAATGACGTTTTTCTCGTGGATGTAAATGTGCACGAGACTGTGAGGCTATTGCCTGTGCGACTCTGCGCTTGACGTTTGGTGCATGCATAAAATGGACCGGTTTGATATCTGAAATACTTGAGACTTGACCGGCCAGCCTCCAGTCTGGGCCCAGCACACTGAAAATCGGCTGATTTCGGTCCCTGGCCAGTCAATCGGTGCTCTCTAATTTAAGGTGTTCCGCAGTATTCACATTGCTGTTTTCCCAAAATTATCTTGCATTATTATTGGTCAGTCACTAGAGTATTATCCTCCCAGAACTTCACTCTAAGTTGACTGCTTGACAGTAGAATGTTTGTTATCAATTACCTGTCTAAGTAAATAAATGTAAATGTATTATTTGTATTTATTATCAGTAGGCAACTTGAATAACTCCTGGGTGATGTATTGATTGCATTTTGAGCGCTTTTGCTTCTTTGTTTGTCTGTTACTAGGACGGTCAATAAAGATGATGTCATCATCTTGGATTCCATGAATTACATTAAAGGTAAACTTTGACATAAGCATATATATTCAGCATGCTGTGTGACTATCCTAACGTATTACATTGAACGTCATTTGTCTGTCTGTTGTTGTCATAATATTGTTTTCTTTACAGCTGTATAATTAATTTACGTTAGATATCATTATTCTGCCCACAGCTATAACAAGCATAAGCCGATTGAAGATAGGCGAATCATTATAAGGCCCATAAATCATAGATGACTCTCATCCCATTAAGGGAAGTTTAATCCCCTTAAGTTTGTAAAACATTAAAATAATATTTAAGAACTCCCTTCTCATATCATAAACTATTTTGTTATGTGCGTATTTCCTTCAGTCTTATCTGATTTTTACATCATGACCTCCTGAGCACAATTGTCCCAAATTACTTGACAAAGGTCTGATAAGGACCTTTTGCACCACAGCACAAGTGTGAGCCAGAGGATGACAGCGGAAAGTAGAGATGCACCGATATGATATTTGGATCGGTATTGGCGCCGATCCAGACTTATTCGAGGGATCGGGTATTAGCCATATGTGACCAGTCTACGTCCTATACTGACTTATTTAGTTTTCAGCAGTCTGTAAAAAGAGAGCTCCAATTTCATGTTAAATCGATTTGTACAATCGCACTTTTTACAGCTCTTTCTCATGTTAAATGTGTTTTTGCGGCATTCGAGCTAAACGCTAATGCTGCTACTCGTGTTTTTTGCTACTCAGCGGGTGTGAGCGCAGTGATTTCTCCCTGCTATGATGTCATACTCATACCCTTTGCTGAGAACGTCAGACAAGAGGGTGGCGATCAAAGTATTTTCCACTTTTAACAGCAACTCGTAGCACAGCGATTCGCAATCATTCTAAAAACACAGTTTTGACAGGTGGGAGTAGCATTTAGTGGAAAATCCCACGGAATAATGCGAACGCAATGGATGATTCGGGTTTCACGAGCTTCGGCTGTTTTCCGCACTCGATACAGCTTCTGATACATGAGGGTACATGAGCTGCTATCGTATCAAACTGTTGCCTGTGGGAGAAAAATTGTGAGGAATTTAAAGCATTAGCTACTAGAGGTTACTTTCCTGGAAGATATTCGGATTGAACTGCAAATACCTCAAAAACGCTTCAAGCAACGAGGTGGAGCAGTACGTTATGTATGCTTCTAGTAACCCAATTAAATATTTTTTTGCATACATTTTTTCGTCTTTATTTACTAATTTAAAATATTTAATATAAAGTATGTGTATATAATATATTAAAATATTAAAGTAAAAAGAACTCTTGTATCAGAATCGGATTGAAACTAAAAAATGTGGATCGGCCCACCCCTAGAAGAAGAAGCTAAAGCTCCCGATAGATTTAGGGAAGTAAAACTCTGTTGTCCCCCTGGGCAGGAAATGATGTGATACCATTCAGGAATCAGTGTGGAGATGCTGCTAGAGCTAAACTGATGTTTTACTTCCAGGTTACAGATATGAGCTGTTCTGCCTTATCAAACATGCTCAAACACCTCATTGTCTGGTAGGTGAACAACTTCTGTGTTTTAGCTTTTTTCTTTCAGTTGTATTTGTTCATGCGTCATTCTGTGTCAACCTTGGCTTCTGCTCTGATTTAACGTCTTCATCTTTTTATTGGCGAACATGAACGCATTCAGGTTTACTGTCTGACATCACCGGAGATTAGTGCCCAGTGGAACGCGAGCAGAGGCCCTGAGGAGCGGTATGCCCAGGAAATGTACGCTGTGCTTCCTGTTTTCTGCTGGCCTTTTTGTTTATCATGTTGACATTGGGTTAAAAATGCGTAAATATGAAAACTTTCAAACATGACTGTAATGCAACTTACCATAAGATCCTGTACAGCGTTCAAACTGAGTGTAAATTAAATGCTTTAATTTTATTTGCCTTGCTTCCTGATAAAGCTCTCTTCATCCCCATTAAAATGGACTTTCCCTTGTGAGAATTACTTGGGAACCTGCAATTAATACTATCATTAATGCATATCTGCTCCAGTCTTCCACTCTAGCTGTCTCTGTTGAGCGAGCCAGTTTCAGATGTTCATGTTGGACTGTGTGAATCTGTAGCTTGGATGCCCTCGTGATGAGGTTCGAGGCCCCAGACTCTCGGAACCGCTGGGACAGCCCCCTTTTCACGGTCCAGCATGACGACAGCCTGCCGTTTGAAGCCATTTCAGATGCAATCTTCCATAGGAAGGCCCCGCCCCCAAATCAGTCGACACAGAGTGTGAGGGATGTCTGTACACCTGTGTGCACATGCAAACGTTGATTCTCTGTGTTCGTTACTCACTCTGTCCTCCACTGTCGCCAACCACAGCAACCTCTGTCTTCCACAAACTTCTTGCATGAGTTGGACAAAGTTACTCAAGACATACTGACGGTAGGCTGTTTTTTCATCTTATTTTCCTTTTATCAATATACCTTTTTTCAGGGCACCTTCTGTTCTTTTATCGTGCCAATTTGTATATGACTTAAGTAAATGTTTTATTTGCTCCCAGAAGTAATCATTTCATACTTATTTACCCCCAGCACTTAGAATATTCCTATTGTCTGAGGTCTGTAAATGTTGCCCACATTTGAACTTGCCTTCCTACCAGGCTATCCTAAACGCACAGAAGACATCGGTCCCTGGAGATGTGATCGCAGTGCCTGCAGCTTCTGAAAAGATATCCTTCTGGGTGTGTGGGTGCATTCAGCTTACCTGTTTATTTCGGGCCATTTCACCTGTTGCTGGAAGAGTTGTGCTTCCTGACTCAAAACTTTACCCTCACGGCGTGTGCGGCTGGCAGTTTCATTTGTAATGCATGCTTTTAAAAGCAGGCAGTATGCTAGATTACCATGTACATACGTCTCTGTTCTAAAGGTGGCCATGCACTTCACACGACGTCCAGAGAAAACGAAATCGAACACATTGGCGAGCAGTGGGACAGACAGAGAAGCGAACAGTTTACACAATACTCCTTTGCACACTCAAGAAATGCACTCATTCCATGGCAAACATTACACGTTTATGGCATTTACTGTTAACAGAAATGCTTGTACAAATGTACAATATTTCAAGTGTAGTGTGGTGCACACTTGCATGTAGCTGTGTAATTTAGTCCTGCTCACCAGCCCTGTGGCGTCACATTATGCCAGCTTGGCATGGACAGCGGGTGGACCATAAACAAACCATAAAGTTCACCTTGGGGACCCTGTACAGTAAGTGTGCTGAAACGGTGATCACCATGGCGATATTGCTAAAATGACATCGGTTTTGTTTGAGGTACATGGCCAGCATAAGCCTTGTCTTCATGGGGAAAGGTTTGCGATAAGGTCCCTGTAGGATCCAAGTTAGCCTCTCGTGCCGAGCGCCGTTCCCTTAACCCATGCGCACGTGCAGACAACCCGGAGTCTCGGCATGGCAGAGCTGCGCAAGCTGCGGCGCCAGTTCATCAGCTACTCCAAGATGCATCCGACTGAAGACAAGGGCCTGATCGCCAACATGTTTGTGCAGTACCTGAACAAAAGCACGTGCTGACGCCTCTCTCCCAGCGGGCCTCCTTTTTAAGGCAGTTTTAATGCTCCTTTTCATTTACTGCCACTTCCCTTAGTTTTACTGCCGTATCCACATACGGTCTCCCTTAAAGGATCAGTCTCTATTGGTCATGGAGTTTTCCTTATGCTGCATCTAGATTTTTGGCAATTTTATAAGTTACTTTGATACAATTACTGATAATTGTTAAATGGCACAAATTTGCATAATCACATTTGCCAACTTTTGTGTCAGGTATTTATTTTATTAGATAAATTATTATTTTTTTTACTATTATAAATTGCCCTATTGCCTGAATTGTAAAGTATTAAAAGGTTGTTTGGAATCTACCTGGTGTAAAAGCTCATTAGACCTGCGGAAGTATAATGTGCGTAGTTTCTACGTGTCAATTATGAAATAGGTTTCTTTAGGGTCTTTAGCCAGCATATTTTGATACATATATGCTTACATAAATGCAGGCAGATTACTGGGCTTAGCTCTGTTTAGATTTACTGGGGTTCATGATTCCCAAGACCTTTTATGCACCCTGTGTCTCTCTCATCATACTTTTTTAAACCTCCCCCTCTTGACTTCGAAACTGATAGAGAATCAAAATGATTGAAGTGAAGTGCATCTTGGGGGGGTGAAAAAGTCCACACTCCAAAAGTTAATGTTTTATAAGAGAACTTCGAACTTAGTGAAACTTTTTGAAATGAACTGAATAATTTTATATGCTAGAAACTACCATCAGAATACCTTCCTCTGTTTACTTATGCAGCAGATACCTTTGTCCAAAGTGACTTACAAATAAGGATCAGAGAATAGGATCAAACGGTGTCCCTGCCGCAGTTGGGGTTGAGGGCCACGCTCAACGGTAACGTAACTCTGCCAGTCACAGGATTTGATCCATTACCTTCGGTTTACAAGCACTGAGCCATACACCGGCCTTTTTATTAAAATATATTAATTGGTTGAATCCAGTCTGTAGACAAAGCATTTAATTTACTAAATGTTTAATTGAAAGCTATATACAACTAAGAAAGGAGGGCAGCCAGTCACTGGAGCAGTTGGGATTTAAGGGCCTTACTCAGGGGGCCTGCAGTGAAATTACTCTGCTGCCCCTGGGCTTTGAACCAGCAACCTTGTGGTCACAGGCACAGAATCCTAACCCGTTGAACCACACAATGCATGTTTGTATTTAGTTTGAACATATTTGATATTTCATTGAACAAATACAGCAAAATGTACATATAATGTAAACTGTATTATGTAGTGATACATGTGCTGCAATGGACTGGAATCCTTTCCAGTGAGTTTCCCTCCCTAACGCCCTGTGCTGCCTGGGGTTCTCTTTAAGGGGGGGGGGTGTTGTATAGCAGATTGAAACACATTCTTCAGACATGATTGTAAAGTTGGCCTCTTCTTTTCTCATCATCCTGAAAAGTCCCTGGAGCTGACAAGTAGCCCCATAACATGTTATCACCACTGTGGCAGATGGAAAAAGGCTGTTGAGTGGTTTGATTGGCATTTTGTTTTTAAACATTCTATTCACATCATAGTCAGTGTTCCCCTACCTTTCAAGATTCCAGTTTTCAAATCTGATTCAGCAAATACTACATTTCAGAATGACCTGTTAACATTTTTGTATAGAAGAATCAAAGCAGGACAACTGAGATTGTGCACTGCTTCGATTATCAGCAAAGCACTTTAAGTTTTGCCACATATGTACTAATAATGCAAGAAATCTTTCAGGGTATTTTCAGTAATAATTTTCCAGTGATAGGTTTCTGTCATGTCAGAGCCAGATGAGCCCCCAAAATATGGGTTACCAGCCAAACCCAGCCTGCACATCAGAGTTGATGAAGAAACTGCATTCACCACAGACCCTGCCTGGAATGCCCTGTCAGACAGCACTTAGGAACACAAACCTATCAGTCCTCATGGTTAGAGACAGTCGAGAGCTCGAGATAGTGGATGAATTGTTCACTCTGCTACTGAAAATACTTTTTTTTTAACTCCTTCTGGCAGGGATAGACTACAGGGCTCGTGTAAGAAAGGTTTTCGTTAAATTTGGAATTTGTCCTGGATATCAGCAGGTTAGGTAACACTGTTTCTGACATGAGGCCATATCAGCAAACCCTTCGATGTACTGGATGTACTGATGTCCAGCAACGCTCTAACGTTCCTCCCCACATCCCCAGTGAAAATACAAGGTCAGAAGTTTTCATCCCTAACCCTAACTCCTAACCCTAATTCCTCACTATACTATATATACAGCAATAGGTCACAAGGACAATCAACGACGATTAACTTGTCTTGCTATAATGCTGTTATCTGTTCTTAAATGTATCCTAACCACTTATCCTGAGCAGGGTCTAAATGAAGCGTGAAGCACATCTCAGACAGCACTGTTCACACACGACGCCAGTCCAACGCAAGACACAGGCATAGAAACGCTCAATGTGGCTAATCGGACTAGCCTAGCAACATGTCTTTGGAGTTTAAGGAAGGCTGCACAACACAGAGAGAGCATGCAAACTCCGCGCACGTGCAGGGTGGAGGCGGGACCCCAAACCTGGAGATGTGATTCATCATGCCAATATAGGAAAGATTAGCTCAAATATTTTCTGCATCAATATGTAGGGAAATTAATTAATTAATATGCATGGAATGGTTTGTTTCTCCAATAAACGATATTATGTTAGTCCTAATTTGTGAGTTACTGGAAGATTTAGTTCACATGACAAACATAAAAATAACAGAATAAATCAGAATAAAGTCAAAGAGCAAGATGGAATATGGGAAGGCAGGAACTTAATTAAAAGGGTACCCTAAAGAAAATACCGTTCTGCACAGCAAGCACTCGATTCTGCAAGCGCGAGGAGTGGATCTGTGTGGCGCGTCTGTAATGTTTTGCGGCTTTTAATAATTTTCCGATTTTCGCCCCCCTTTCGTGGAAAACAAGTCCCAGAAATTTTTAAAATGACTTTATTACTTTTGGGTAACAGTTTACTTAAGGGGACACAAGTAAATAATTAGTAACTAAGTTGCTATAGTCAAGTACAAATCATGAACAAACATAGTAACTGCATGAAATACATTACCTGTTATGACTGATTAGTGATGAACAAACATGGCATGTTTTTCCCAGAGCTGTGAAAGCATTTATATTGCTTGAGACGCTGCTGTGATGAAGCAGCTCACAGTCTTCTGTGTGAAATGATGGCCACCGTCTGGTGTGAAGAGGAAACTACACCTAACCTGCTAGTAAAGGACAGTCACTGCAAGCAGTTTGAAGTTAATTTGAATTGACAAACTTTTACAATGAGTTTCTTTTAGTTCCATTTAGATTTCCTTTAGCATAATGGTATGGTCACGCACTCACACTAGTGGGAAAAAACAACTCGTCTCTGCAGAATATTGCAAAAATGGGCGCGACCTGATATTCCGCGGTAGTTGGGGTATACCGTGGTATTTTCCTGTAGCTAATGAATAGTGTTGCTTAGGCGAATGACGTGTGTGAAGATGCCCCCCCCCCCATGTGTTTCACATTTTAACCAAACCACTCTCAGTCATGCCCACGTTTGTATCATTTTGTACTGTTGAAATTTTCTTTTGTGCTAGTTTCTGAGATATAAAGATAAAGATGCTTTATTGTCATTGTAAATGCAATGAGATTTCGTTTGGAACGCGGCAGCAGAGACCTGGAGGGCAAAACCCCTTCCAACATGGCGGCTAACACTGGGCACTCCATAGACCTGCAGCAGAGGTCGGTTAATTTTCCACATGTTATGAATATTGATATCACCTATCAACAGGAAAAAAAAAACCAAATATATGAGAACAAACTGCAAGTTTTGGGCACTTACGATCCCCTCACAGCACCCGCCACAGTATTTCAGTTGCTGAAAACAGCGAGAACCCTGTCAGAGCTCCACTGCGATGATGTCACACCCCCCCCATGACAATGCCAGCTTGTGGGTGCCTGAGGTGACCCACCTGCCCCACGCCTTTAAAACCTCAGGCTGCCTGGCACTCGGTGTGATATAGGATTGTCTTCTCATGTGACTTACTAACTGTGTCTCTTGTCTTGCCCTGACCTGTCCTGTCTGCTTGGTTCTGATCCTGTTCCCTCTGGACATCCCTGGGTGTCCGACCCCCCACCACGCCGTCTTCAGCTCTCAGTGTTGGACTGACTGAACCTCCTACTCCATGACCCCCACCGAGGTCCTGCTTACTGAGTCTTTTTCTGTTTGACTGGTCCCCTGTAAACTTCCTGTGTTCTGCAATTGAGTCCCTAAGCTTTTTGTTCATAACAGGTGATGTCTACATATACATTATGTGGACAAAAGTATTGGGACATGTGGCCATTACATCTACGGGAACAAATATGACATCCAACTTGAAATCCATAGGCATCAATATGGAGATGGTCCCCCCTTTACAGCTATATCAGCTGCCACTCTTCTGGGAAGGCTTTCCGCAAGATTTAGGAGGGTATCTGTGGGAATTTTTGCCCATGTTAGTACATCTCAAAGGTTTTTGATGGGGTTGAGGTCAGGGCTCTGTGTGGACCAGTCAAGTTCTCTTCTGGTACAGAAAAGGGCCTTCCCCAAACTGTTCCTGCAAAGTTGGAAGCATAGGATTGTCCAAAATGTCTTGGTTTGCTGTAACATTAGAGGTTCCCTTCACTGGAACTTAGGGACATAGTCCAACTCCATACAACCTCATACCATTATCTCTCCTCCACCAAAACCTTACAGCTGGCACAATGCAGTCAGGCAGGTAATGTTCTCCCGGCATCCGCCAAACTCATCCATCAGACTGCCAGACAGAGAAGCGTGATTCATCACTCCACAGAACACATTTTCACTACTCCAGAGTTCACTGGCAGTGAGCTTCACAGCACTCCAATGCTAGACATTGCGCTTGCTGATGTGAGGCTGGATGTGAGCACCAAGATGTGAGAGTAGAGTTCATGCACCCTTGTGGCCCAACAGCTAATGTTCACCCCAAATGTGGGAGGAGGGATGCGTGTTTCTGTCCAATCATCTGCCACTTTGTGGCTGAGTTTCTGTCATTCCTAAACGCTTCCACTTTGCAATAATACACTTTACAGTGGACCATGGAATATCTTGCAGGGAGGAAATTTCACAAACTGACTTATTGCAAAGGTGGCATCCTATGTCAGTACCACACTTGAATTCACTCTTCATAACAACCCATTCTTTACAAATGTTTGTAAACCTGACTGCATGGCTAGATGCTTCATTTTATACATCTGTGGTCTGAATGAAACCTGCAATCTACCACTAACCAGCAGGGGGCGATCGGCATTGTGCAGGCTGAC